CAATAAATATTTTTAAAAATGAGATCCAGACAGCTGTGAGGAAAGAAGAAATGTTTATTCCTAAAAGCAAAACAGTTTGCCTTTAGGGGCAGGCTGTAGAGAAATGGGGTACAGCAGCATATTTTTATAGGGGGAGCTTGTCCATGATGAAGTGTTTACGTACTGATTCTAGGATGACAGTTGAGATGTGTGTGTGTGTAGGTATCTCTATGGTGTTTATTCTTGTGAAGATGCAGTTCAGCTGGGAGACCTAATTTAATTAACTGTGTGTTTGCAGACCTTAACCTTTGATATGTGGATTAGGTCTGGGTAACTTATTTGGGGTTTGAGGAAGTTTGCTAATTTTTCTTGATTAACTTAGTTTCAGCTTGACTGTCAATTATCTAGTGGAGACACCAATTCTCAGATGATTGTGGATTCTGCTAATATTTTAAGAGAAGATTGAAACAGTATAAAGAATAAAATATATTTGGATATAACTTTTCAAAAAAATTTTTTTGTTATTGTTTAAATTAACTTAATTTATAACCTTTACAATTAAAGGGAGTGAATATAATGCTTCTGCCTCTTGTTTTCTTCACAAGAGCAACCCCATGAGGAAACTGCTGAGAGAGAGGCAGTAGCCCAAATTCACCCCGCCAATTCTCACGCCAAATGGAGACATAAAATTCAGAGCCTTCTGGTTTCTAGGCCAGCAGCCTTACCAATACAGCATATCGATTTAATGTTAGTTCTAATTATAACTCTAATAAATGATTATAATCTACTAAACTTCTAACTCTCAACGACTGTGAGCCGCTCATAATAATTAAATTCAGTAAAAAAAAAAAAAAGTAAAAGACAGCAAGCAGGATGAAGTGAGGGGGTCTCCCTCTCCCTTGCCAAAGGCCTGGATGAAGAATGTGGTCTTCTCAAGCTCTTCTAAACAACAACAAAGTGGGGCCATCCAGATGTCAAGGGAGCCAGAAGAAAGTGCTACAACAGAGAAAGTGCAACTTCCTGAGCCCTGAGAGATGGCTTTGTTTAATTGAAAGAATGTACGACATGTCAACCCTGCAGGATCAAATTGGTCAGGCAGATGTTATGGGACAAAGGTAGTCCCTCAAATAATCGAGAGAAAACACTTTGGTTAACTTTTTATTATACCATCCAATTGAACTTTTGACAAATGTAGTGATTTATAATTTCCATCACATTAGAAAAACTTTCTGCAAATAATTCATTGAATAGTTCCCCCTCCCCCCCGCGCAGTCTTCAGCCTTCCTCAGCCTTCCTCATCCTCTTTTTTTTTTTGGTGCCTTCAAGTCAGTTTTTAACTCCTAGCGATTGCCTGGACTAGTCCCTGCAGTTTTGTTGACATGTTTTCAGAAGTGGTTGCTTTCTTCCTAGGATTGTGAGAGATGCCTGGCTCAAGGTCACATAGCTGGTTTGTGCCTAAGGAAGAACTAGAAGTCACATTCTCCTGGTTTCTAGTCTGATGTCTTAACTACGTCACCAAACTGGCTCTCTTTACTTAGCCAAAATCCAATCAAATATGTTGAGTTACAACTGAAGGAAGAAACAACCTGAGGAAAGTTGGCTGATAACAGAAATGGGAATTATAATATATAATATAATAATTATAATAATGATCTGCTATTATTAATTTGAACCAACAAAGCAGGGCTATGTAAAGTAAAAGTGTGAACAGTGGAAAAAAAATTATCCAAACTCAAATATCACCGAAAAATGATTTGCAGATCAAAAGAGATCCATTACCAAAAATAAAATATTCTGGAAGAGATTCAGGAAAAACTAAAAATGAAAGACCCCAAAATAATAGTAGAATAATAGAAAAAAAAAATCAAATAACAATTGGAACTATAAAGGAAACAACTGATACAAACTACACAAATGATAACTTAGAAGAAGTCATAACAACAGAATCATTCCAACTCATTATTATTATCATTATCATTATTATCATCATTATCATTATTAGCATTATTATCATCATTATCATTATTTATGAACTGAACATCCTTAAAGAAGAATTAAAAGAGACTATTATGGCATATGCAAAATCACCAGTAGACAAAGATAAATCTTGGCTATCAAATAGCAAAAAAGGCTAATAAAATCTCAAATTTCCTTTATAGCAGTGGTTCTCAACCTTTCTAATGCCGTGACCCCATAATACAGTTCCCCATGTTGTGGTGACCCCCAAGTGGGTGTGGCCACCAATAAGAGGGAGTAGGACAGCTAAGGAAAAGGGAACAAAATGGTGGACAGCATGGTTTGGCGACCCCCATGAAATGGTCATTCGACCCCAAATGGGGTCACGACCCACAGGTTGAGAACCACTGCTTTATAGAGATGATCTGAAGCTTTATGAGAAATCCGAAATCAAAATCCAGAAAAACACTGCAAGAATTTTTTTAGCACAGCACAGATATATGCTGTGCTAGAGAAATATGCTACAATAACAATAAGGCCGGGTAAAATAGCAAACAGTAATAGAATTTAAATGCCAAATAGCTAAAACCATCAGCAGCCATCAAGATGAAGCCTATAAATATCTGGATATTTTACACCTGGACAACATCAAGCTTCGACAATTTAAAAATGTGTCTGGTAAAGAAAACATTCAGACTAAGAAAATTGCTAGAGACAAAATTAAATAGTGGAAAGACCATCAAAGCCATCAATATCTCGGCTATACATGTGATATGATGCAGTACAGGAATTATTAACTGCATACAAACTAAACTGGGCAGTTTGCACAAAAAAAGCAAGAAAACAGATGACTATTCATTATGCGTTACATCCCCATAGTGGTACTGACAGATTGTATCTACACTGCAGAAATGGAGGCAGAGGTTTACTTCATGTGAAACAATTTTTGAAAAAGAAAAGCATGCATTGGTTAAATGTAAAAGACAGTTAAGAAGAAGCATTAATGCAAGTTAAAAATGTACTAAATGTACAGGAAATAAAACATTAATACTAAAATAATGTAATAAAAACAAGAAAATGCTGGCAAAGAAACATATTACATGATCAATTTCTACAAAAGGAAAGTAATAAAACTTGCCAATGGCTTATAAATGGAACATTAAAAAAGAAACTGAAGGCTTGATTTTGGTTGCTCAAGAGCAAGCTATTCGAACTAATGCATCAAGGCCAGAATTGAAAAATGAAATGAGTCAAAGTTCAGATTGTGCAAAGAAGCTCAAGAAACAATAGATCTTTATTCTGTTTGTGCAAGAAGATCATACAAACTGACTATAAACAACAACATAACTGTAACTGGAGAGTACAAATTATCATGTGCCAATAATGAAAAATTGGTGGGAACATAGAGTTGAAAAAGTAGTAAAAAATGAGCAGGTTAAAATATTGTGGGATTTCTGAATGCAAACTGACCAAGTCCTGAGATATAACACACCAGATTTTAACTGTGGTTGAAAAGAAAATGATAACTGATGTGGCAATACAAGGGGTATTGTAGAATAGAAGAATTGGAGAAGATCACAAAATATCAAGATCTGAAAAGTGAAATTGAAAGATTGTGGCATAAACCAGCCCTGGTGGTCCCAGTGGTTATCGGTACAGTAGGTGTTATGTCAAAAAAATCTTGGACAGCACTTAGAAAAATCTGTGCATTGATAAAATGTTCACCTGTCAATTACAAAAGGCCATGCTGCTTGGATGTGCAAATATATTACACTGATACATTACAACATGCTAGGTTTTGGGAAGAAAGCCAACACCAAGTAAAGAAGCAGCAGCTGTGAATTCACAATGTTGTGTATGTAATAATAATTTATTAACTTGTGTACCGGCTGACTCTCAATAACTCTAGGTAGCTTCTGACAATCGAACTAACTACAGTAAAGCATAAAAAAATAAAGACATCAAGATGTAACTGAGTGATCAAAAGATTGAATTGGGATACAGTTGAAGTTTAGTGAGTGGCTTTGGGCTAACCTCAGAACCAAATTTATCATACTCTGTTTTGCTATAGGGCTGAAGAGAACCCCCTTACAGCTTCCCAGCAATAAAAGCAATAATAACAACAGAAGAAGAATGAACTGGAATTCAGAGAAGCTCAATTATTTGTTAGATTTAATTCCGTACTTTTCCTTTTTTTCCCCACAACAGCAACTCTCTAAAATAGGTTGAACCTGAGAGAGAGTGACTGTCCCATTCACCTAGCCAGCTTTCGTGGCTGAAAGTGGACTTCAACTTAGGGCTCTGTGGTGTAATGGCCAGTGGAGAGAGACCCGGGGAACTGTAGTTCAATGCCTGGAAAGCCACAGAGGCAGTGGTGGGGTTCGCACCACTTCGGCAGAACCGGTAGCTAATTTTTTGTTGACCAGGCCCAGAATAGACTTCCGGAAGCGGCATCCACACAGAGAACCGGTAGTTCACATATTTGAATCCCACCACTGCACAGAGGCCCCTGTTCAGTTATAAAATTTTCTGTTGTTTTAAGGTGGTGATCTTTTCTGTGGTTTTCCGTGTTGTTGGAAAATGCCTGCAATGATAGGTTTCTTGCAGTAGGAGGGGCAGCTCCAGGATCAGATGACATAGCCCTTGTCCCTTCTTCTCCTAACGAATGACACAAAATGTTTTAAAAAGGAACTCTTGCCTCAGACATTGGAATTTTTGACTTTATGGAATAATTGACTGGCATGATGTCATCTCTACAATAACAGGTCATCTAACTAGGTCAGCTGTTTGTTGAAGTGCCACTGTATGGATGCTTCTCATCTCAAGCATTACTTTTTTTTTAAAGTTTTTATTTTTCATTTATCAATTACATAAACAAAAAAGAAAAAAATTCACATTTGACAAAATAAAATAAATACGCATAGGTGTTGCTTGCCCACCCCCCCAAACTGCATCCGCCCTCTGTAACACTCTCCCTTACTTCCCTCCTCTTTCTCCCCTCCCCTCCCCTCTCTCTCCCCTCCCCCTCTCCTCTCACCATTCTACTTCCTCCCTAACCTTTCTCCTCCACTCTCATCCCTCTTCGGATACAGTGCCGGGGAAATGCCCAAGCAACATCTCTCTCGTAAGTTGTCCCATCTATTATCTTACTTTAATCCTATTGTCTAACCTACTTAAGCATTACTGAGTGCAGAAAGTCTGTTCCGTCTCTGTCTCCCAAAATCTGCTCCCATGGTTATGCATATGTTAGTTAGACTATATGTGGGCAGGGGGGAAGAAGGAAACATTTAAGAAACATTATTGCCTCTGCACAGAACCCTATATTAGTGACAGCCACTTTTGCTTGAACGTCTTGGTTCCTGCTCAACAGTTTGAGGCCTATTAATGTGTCTATTCTTTCCTAAAACCACCAGCACTGTCTTCTGTCACCACATCCTGTGACAGTAGATTACACAGATTATATTGAGTAAGAAAACGGTTTTATTTCCAATGTATTACACACCATCTCCTGCTCCTAAAAACAGACCATGTACATTTTTTCCCCTGCATTTTATGAAAGCATTCCCAACTTTGGATGCAATACTCCACACGATTCGTCACTTTAATTTCCGGAATTGTTCAGGAACATCTGGAGACTCATAGGTTGCCGATTCCTACTTGTTAGGACAGAACATGCCATTCATTTGTTGGTAATCAAGCGGGAAGGTTCCTAGAATTAACAACCAGAAAACCTCCCTCCTTGCTTAACACTCTTTTTTTGTGAAAGGAAAGAAAGTGAAACTAGATTTTTTTTTTGGTAGCCTATCATATGTATTTGAGAGAAAAATAGTAAACATTCCAGAATATTCCAGTGCCCTGATCTCAAATACCGTGTTCACATTATGTGTATTTCTATTTTTACTTTACTTTTACATTCCTCCTGATCTTAATCTTACAAGCTGATTGTGCATCTGATATGTTATCTAACATGCATCTTCTGTAGAGATGCTCACCAAGAAACAGTTAGTTTAGTTTTTGAAACCATCCAATTTGACTAGTATTATAGCTATTCATCATGCTGCAATTATTATTTTTTTTTCAAATATTGCATTTCTAAAGATGGTACGTTTTCAATGGATAATTGTGGAAATATTTTTGTTCCCATGCTGCAAAACTGGGAACAGCTCAGACATTTGAGAGTCATCAACTGTTGAATGAAGTTATGAGGTATATGTGTATCTGCAAACTAACTGTTAGACCTATTTTTATATAAAAGCTTACTTGTTGTATATAGCTTTTAGGTTCCTTGCTAGTTCTTGATGTCACCACAACACTCCACATACTGTATAGAATTACCTGCTTGCATAAGAAAAGAACAGTATTTAAGCCATTCTTCTTCAACCTGGTGCTTCTGCAAACTAGTGCTAGTGTGGAGGGAGGAGAGATGATTATAATTTTCAAATAATTCCAGTGGTAGTGAGCAAGGTGCAGAGCAGCACAAATGGTCATGAATATATTATATAATCATTTTATGTAGGCCTATTTTCCATTTAATATATTTGTTTGAACTTTAGTAATTTTTCACAAATCATATTACCCAAAGCCTTCTTCTACATTCTGGTGACATTTGTTATTTCTTTGTACATGGCCAGGCTTCTGACATTAAATAGGTAGTAACTGCCATGAAAAGGTATGAGCTAGCATTTTCCTTAATATTTCTTCTAGATCAGACATGTCAAACTCACGATGTCACGTGACATGACGCAACGTATCGGAGCTTTTTCTCCATTGCCAACAATGCGGTGGTATGGTTTCCTGGTGACACGTCCCGCCTGTGGGCCGGCAGTTTGACACCCCTGTTCTAGATATTTTTGACCATCTGCCTAATGATCTCATGTGGGCTTATTTCTGAGTTATAGGTAACTCTTGACTTACAACCATTTGTAAGTCATTCAAAATTACAAAAAAATGACTGACTTATGACTGGTCCTCACACTTCGGACCATTGCAGCATCCCCTCCCTAAGTCCCATGATCATATTTGGGCACAGAGTAGCATCTTCCTGGGGTTTGGCAAATTTTCATCCCAACCAAACAATAAACTGCAAAATAGAATTTGAAATCAGGTAAACCTAATCTTCCTCTTTCCTTTGCATGAGCCAGCATTTAACTCCTGGTTTTCTCTATGCCACACAGGTTTAGATATACAGTATCCTTTGTTTCACTAGTTAAGTGGTGCATCAGTTGTCTGAAACAAAAACATCATTCTAGTTAAGGCATTCATTTTTATCACAGAAATTCTCCCCAGCAAGGACACTCTCCCTCTTAACATGTCTTTTAAAACTTCATTTCATATCTTAACACAGTTATTTTGAAATAACACGCAGTTCAAATTTGTGATAGTGATGCCCAGATATTTCATTTTCTTCTCAATCTTAAAATCCATTTAATTCATGTTCAGTTTGATCTTCCATTATCACATTTTTGCTAACGTCTTCATTTGTGCTTTTTGGAAAGTATAGATCGATCTTACCCATTTTATAAAGTTTTCCAAAATTCGTATCTTCCAAAACTTTGAAGAAGAAAGCTCAGTTCAAATTGTCAAGAACTTCTCTGCACCTAAGAAAATCAGCGTGGGTTGTTTTTCATTATGTTATCCCAAATATTCCAAAATGTCCAACAGATTTCTAATGTTATCCTTTAACTGTCTTTTAGGTAAAAACCCACACTGATCTTTATGACTAAATTCTTGCAAAATTATTTCCAATCTGTCAACTAGAATCATTCACAGTTTCTTGTTAAAGACAAATACCTCTTTAGGTATTACTGCTAAATTAGTCTCTTTCTAACCCTCTGGCATCTTTATTATGTTTTGTAAAGGTTGTAAAAGCTCATCCACAAAACATTTATAACAAAAATATGATAATTCATTTGGTTCAGGTACTTTGCCTAATTTAATCTTTTTTATAGCTTCACAGTCTTCCCTTATTGATATAGATCCATTCATAATCTTGTCTCATTTCCTCTATAATCCTTGGTAGAATTTGATCCTTTAAATATTCATCTATTTTCTCTAGAGAGATGTCATTTCCTGTATACAGGTTGGAATAATATTGATGAAATGCTTATTGTATGGTACATTGCCCATTAATACAGTATCTACTTGTAATTTCAATATTTTCTTTTTTTTATTTTCATAATTTATATGCTAGGCACTTTCCTGGTTTATTTGCAAACTCAGTTTTTTTATTTTGCATAGTTCATTTTTATTTCCATTTGTTTTAATGTTAACATATATGTTTCTCTTTATAAAAGTTTATTTGGTTGAAAAATGCTTATTTTCTGTGGAAATTTCTTTAATTCTTTTTTGTTGTCTTTATCTCATGCAAAACAGCTTGTGTTTTCTCTCGACTCTTCTTTTTTGAGTTCTCTATTATGTTGTGTAAAATAACCTCTAGTAAAAGCTTTACTTGTATCCAAAACCATTCTTAAATCAATTTCTTCACCTAAATTATTTTGAAGAAGAATTATTTTAATTTCTTTTTACATTCCTCCACTATTGCTTCCTTCTCAATTACATTTCATTTAGTCTCCATCTAAAAAAAGTAAAAATTTCTTTTACAAACCACAGGATTTTGATCTGAAAAAGTCTTTGGTAATATCTCTCGTTCAGAAACCTTAGCAGCTAATTTCTTTGAAATGGAAATCATGTCTATTTTTGAAAAGATTCTGTGTCTTTCAGAAAAGTAAGTATATTCTCTTAAATTGCCATTTTTCTATCTCCATGCGTCAACACCCCTACATCGTCCATCAAATCAAAGAAAACTTTTTGGTAATTTGCCTTGAGTGATTTTATTTATTTACATCCCACCTTTATTATTTTTATAAATAAGGTGGCAAAGGTGCACAATACCCCTTCTACCTCCTGTTTTTCCCACAACAACCTTGTGTGGGAGGCTGGATTGAGAGACGGTAACTGGCCGAAAGTCAGCCAACCTAAGGTGGGACTAGAACTCACCGTCTCCTGGTTTCTAGCCTGGTGCCTTAACCACTAGACCAAATTAACTATATTTTTCTCAGAAATTTCAATGTCCCATTGAACAGTAAATTTCATGCTGAAACTTTTCTAACTCCAGGGAAAGCTGTAGCTTGGGTTGTGGTGGGACTGGGTGTCTTATTGTTTTGAATGAAACCGCAATGGATAACCTTGAAGAATTGCAATGGTTGAATTTTTTGCAAAATAATGATTCCACATATACCCATGCTGAGCTTTCATTTTACCAAACCTTTCCAAAATTTTTAGAAACCTTTTCCAGTTCTCTTCTTTCTTATTTTGCCTTTGACATATTTGCTTGACCTGCTGGTGCTATCAAGCAGCTGTAGAAGATCTATAACCTTTTAAACAGGATAAAAATATTACGCAGAAGTGCAGTGTTTTGTCTCTGGAGCAGAATTTCTTTGATGGTCAATATTTGATTATTGTTTCATTTTAAGACAGTGTTTAAAATGATATGTGGGGATTTTTGCCTGTTTTATTAGAAACGTTCAAACTAAAACCATCTGATATGAATGCACGTGTATATCCAAGTCTGTTTGCTTTAAGCAAACACCTTGTTACTTGTCACCAGGCAATTTCTCATCACAGGACTTGCCACTGCAGTCGAGAAATTTGCTATGTCAGAGGCATTCTTGTACTTTCACAAGTTTGTTTAACTTATTTGCACTAGTCTAATACAGGGAATTCTCAACTTACAACCATTTGTTTAATGACTGTTTAAAGTTAAAACAGCACCAAAAAGTTTACACTGTCACAGCATCCCCACAGTCACATAATCAAAATTCGGGCGCTTGGCAATCGGTGTATATTGATGACAATTATCGCATCCTGGGGTCATGTGATCACCATTTGCGACCTTCCCACCCAGCTTTTGTCAAGCAAAGTCAATGGGGGAAGCTGGATTTGCTTAAAAGCTGTGTGATTCACTTAATAACTGCAGTGACTCATTTAACAGCCGTGGCAAATAAAGTCGTAGAATTAAGCTCAACTCATTTAACAACCAATTTACTTAGTGAAAATTCTGGTGCCAGTTGTGATGGTACGTTGAGGACTACCTATAGTAAGAGCTGTTCAGCCAAATCAAGTTATTTTTGAAAAGCCAAATTTAACCTTCAATTTTATTTGATGTTGGTTTCAATTTGAGTTAAGAGGTTTGGCTTTTTAATGTAATTTGTAATTTAATGTATTATCCTAAAATATTTTAAGGAGCAAAAGTAACTCAAGGTTAAATCAGGATATCAACACTGGACTATTGAATCTAATGCTAACCACTGCCATAGCATGAAATATTACTTCTAGAACAACACAGAGATTAAAAAAAACCCACACAGATCAAACAAGAGCAAATGATTAAATACCAAAGACAAAATATATCCCTGAGCAGTTAAAGCAGTATTGCAATACGAAATGCTAGCCCCAAAGCTTTTTCGTATATTTCCATAATATATTTTTTAGTTCCAAACATCTGGAGGAATGAATAAATTCGTCTGTGAAATTCCAGATGTGCAGTATTTTAGAGTCACAGTTTACTTTAGAGATTAGCTGGCTCTATTCTTTTTCTTGTGGCCACTCATGGATAGTTGGGGGAGAACATGTAGAAACATCACAGGCAGTTAAATAATTCGCTGAGAAACTACACAGTTTAAAATATTACAGATTAGCAGGAGGAAGAAATCCTATATTGTTGTGACACTTTTTCTGCAAAACAGCATATAAGGAAGATAAACTCTGTATGCTGCAACCACAATCCACCTGCTATTAGTATGCACAACAAATTTTTTTGAACATCGGTTGGAGGGGTTGTCTCCCTCCGTTCCCTTTTCTGGTTCTTTGGATGGAAAGGAGAAATTGTTATTTCGAGATATTACTGATCTGTGTGTCTTCCACCTGTGTTGAATTGCTTTCATGAATAAACAACCGGAGTAAATGTGATAAAATCAAATATTGGTTAGAACATCTAGCTCAGTGGTTCTCAACCTTTCTAATGCCGCGACCCCATAATACAGTTCCCCATGTTGTGGTGACCCCCAACCACTTATACATCATCGGGTGCCAGGGGCGTGGCCAAAGAAAAGGGGGGAAAAATGGCGGACAGCCTTGTTTGGCGACCCCCGTGAAATGGTCGTTCGACCCCAAATGGGGTCCCGACCCACAGGTTGAGAACCACTGATCTAGCTTATGAAGCTGTCTTTACCCTCCACCCACAGGGTCTGTAATTTAAAATATATTTTCCTCAATTGTTAGACTACAAATAATTTATTGGTTTTCAGTACAGTAGTTAAAACAGAGTACTTTTAAACCTATATTTGGTCATAAAAGTTACCCTTTTATATTAGTAATGACTTTCCTGACTACCCTACAATTAGATATGTAGAAATGAGTATTATAGGTAGCAGTTTTGTTTTCTGTAAGGAGGAGGATAATTAGGGTTTCATTAAAGTGGCTTTACTTCAAAAGGGGAAGGAAAGTATGTATTTGGAACCTTAAGAAAATTTAAAATATGGTGATCCGGTTGCACTGATGACTGATTTACTATATTCATTCATTCATTCATTCATTCATTCATTCATTCATTCATTCATTCATTCATAATGTAGCTCTTAAAATTTTTAAATTTTAATAAATCAAGAAAAACCACAGAAATCCAATGTGTCGATATTGTCAGGTAATAAAACAGCTTTCTGATATTAAATAAGTAAAATAATTATATTTCAAAATTGCATTCTTATCTATCATTATTTTTCTTTTGGATTTTCTTTCTTTCTTTTTTTTGCTAAAATACTGTTTACAAGATTCTCTGCTTCATATCTGAGGAATTGCAAGATATCCCAGAGGTTTCATACAACAAGCATTCAATATTACTTCAGTCACAGATTTTGTTGGATAAAGTTTTTGATCAAAATAGGTAAAGTTAAAGTCTGCTACAATATTTTCCGTTCGATTTAATGGAAACCTTTGCATATCAATGTAACTATAAGAGCTGGATAATGAAAACATGCCCAGTCATGGCCATGAGTACTTTCCAGCTTCAAGCAGCAAACAGCCCATCTGTGGTTTATTTGTTTTCTTGTTTAGCAAATGCAGGATAAGGAGAAACTAACCACAAACTATACTCTTGGCTTGCATTAAGTGTGTTTATGGCTTCATTCTCTGATTAGCTCCAGCTACAAGCATACTTCTATAAACAAACCACAGAGGGTGGTTTGCTAGCCATGCTATTTGGGTGAGGAAATGTAATGCTTTTTCACTAATCACCTTGCATGTTTAAGCCTAAATCATAGTTATTTTAACCATAGTGGTTGATACAGATGTAGTAGGCTGATTTGTAAATATTGCTAAGCCATAAACAATGGCTTAAAAGCCTAAATGCTGAGTATACATCTGAAGCTAAACCAAAACTAAAGAAGCCACATTCCAGATTAAGGATGATCTGTGACCTTCACGTAGATATGAGTATCTGTGAACAGGCAACACATACAAGGTGAAAGCAAAACACAGTAAAAACAGGACACATTTTTACATGCATTTCTGTTCTTCAGAGCTCTGAGATGGGGCAGCTTACTTGGTGTCTCAAGTCCGAATGTATTTGCATAGTTATCAGGATGAGAGAACCTGGGATGCAAATAGTTATTTTATTCTTTGCCGATTTATTTATAATTATCAGCAACCCAACTATCTGTCAATATAACACATAATCTTTTGGGAAACATTTGGTATCTCAGGCTGATGTTTCTTAGTTGTTGTATATGCAATAACTGTAATTGTTTTTATTCTAGAAAACAGCATGGGCTTGACTGTGTTCAAAATGGAGCAGAGGAAGGCCTTACAGCTTTGGCTTGGCCTGCCCTTGTACATGGTTCCTAATGGATTGTTCCTGAGAGAATGAAGCATGTCATCATCCTGCAATGTACGAAGCTATGGTGGAGATTGCAGTTTGCTTGTGGGTTTTCAAAGCCACCACACTATGTTTTTTAGAGAGCATGATTTTTCTCCCTTGCTTTCACTGACAGTAGCAACAAAAGGATGCCTGAACCCAAGTAGTGATGTCACCGGCACTAGCCTTTCCTTTGCAACACCTCACACTTTGAGCTCCCTCTTACCCTTGAAAGAGGTAAGAATCCATATTTTTGTGAAAGCAATTGAATGCTAGGCTTTTTATTCCATTTCAGAAGTTCTATCTTCTTCTTATGACTCATTGCAATTCCATCACAATGATTATTCTGCCGACTGCCAGCAGTTCGATTCTCACCAGCTCAAGGTTGACTCAGCCTTCCATCATTCTGAGGCTGGTAAAATGAGGACCCAGATTGTTGGGGGCAATATGCTGACTCTGTAAACTACCTAGACAGGACTGTAAAGTATTGTGAAGCAGTATATAAGTCCAAGTGCTAAGCTCTATTATGGGCAGAACTTTTTGTGAATACTGGATTCCCAAGACAGATGTCTTTCAAAATCTCCTGCTTGGTAAAAGGACCTCTTTTCCTCTTACACCCAAGAAATATTTTTTTGATTTTCATAATCAGCCTTGAAACAGGCTTCCATTTAACATTGTTGCAGTCCTATGAGAAGACTCTACTTTGATATGTTTAAATAAGTTCTGAAAAATTGATGTCACTTCAAAGGCCTCTAAATTTCAGTGTAACTGTTAGTTTTATGGAGAGGTTTCATTATCATAGTTAATACATCTTACCTTTAATTTCTTAGAATATTGTAAAATAAAGTAACTAGTCATTAAATTGTTATTCTCCATGAATTCCGAAGTTGAAATTGCTGGAGAATATCTTCTATTGCTCAACATTTTTCTCTTTGTTTTGACATAATACTCTGAAGTGGTTGTGACTCCAGTAATCCTTTACTCCAGTCTAGCTGACATTTGAACACCATTATTTGACTGGAGAGACTTAAATGCTCATCCCACTCAAATCCATCTATTGTGCTCACTAATTAAAAGCTCTATGTGGTTCATCTTTGGCAGATTGTGTTTAGGAGTCTTCTAAGAGATATGAGTAACAAATGAACAAATATGATTCTAGCAAAACCACTTGTATTTTCCTTTTATTGTAATCCACATGGCTATTAAATTTCTCTCTCTCTCTAGATGTTAGGTAGATAGATGTTAGGGAGAGAGAGAGAGAGAGAAAGAGAGAATATGATATGATATGTGATATATGTGAAAGACACTCCTTTAGTTCACTAAGAGACCAGATTTTTATAGTTACAGATCTGTGGAGGAATGTTGACCATGTTAAACAGCTGAAGTATAACATGCCAATGTATCATTTCAGCATGATGCATTGTGATCACATAGGTAGACAGATTTATGAGTTCACAGGCATGTGTTATGTATCTCTCTCATATTCAAAATTACAAACTGCATCATGAAATCAGCCCTCTACTTTCCATCACTGTGCATTAAAGAATGGGAAATGTATTGTGAAATATCCCCCTCTCCCCCAAGAAAACAATAGAAAGATAACACATTCAGATATTCAAACACCACCATAGACTGATAGAAGAGGGCACTGGAAGGGATGTCAGCCTAGAATCTCCTGGAACATTCAACAAAGCATAAGAATGGAACATAAGAATAGTAGGAGTTGAAGAGCGCAATAAGATCTATTTTAAAAAGCAAAGGATAATGGCATCTAGAATATACACAATTGATTACATATGGTGCTTAACAGGGAAAAAAGGATTGCGGAAGTTTTCAAAATAATAATTAATTTTTTTAAAAAAAAATTCGTTTTCTCTCTCTCTTTCTCTCTCTCTCTCCCTCTCCCTCCCCCCCTCTCTTTCTTTCCTTTGGCAAAGAGTACATGTAGTGGTCATGGGAAGAAGAAAGACAGACCCAGGGGAAAGATAATAAAAAATTCAGGACTAGCAACTGCCAGAAATCCAAGGTAAATTTTTTCTAAGAAAAATTAATGTTACAGTTCATCTATTCTCTCACTTGAATGCTAACTCCTGACATCACAAACTTATCTCTGATGGGGCTGTACATGGGATCTGATTGAAAGAGGCAGGACCGCACAGATACTCAACTTGTTTTCCCATATTTAGTCATTTAAAAGACAATAAGAAGCCATTTTTGCCAAGCTTTGTCAGAACAGGCAAGCAATTGCACATGTCTGGCTCCAAGCCCCCTTAATTCTTCAGCACCCTATTTTGGGTAGTGCCCGAACAATTATTTTCAGCAATCTTCCACTTGTCTATAAGCTATTACTGGCAAATCAACAATACCACTTCCATAGCCAATCACTATCTAAGTCTGCTTTAGCCCTTTTAGCCATCACCTCCATTTCTAATCTTTTGCTGTTCAAGCTTTTCTTTCCCAGAGTCCTTTCTGATGGTGTTTCACTCCACCTCTCTAATGCCAGTGTGGCATCCGACATTGGTCCAGTCCATCTGCAGCTCCTCTTTCTCCAATGAGAGCTTTCCTATGAGAAGCTAAACTAAACATACTCTCAGCCCTTTATCGGCAAAGTGAGTACAGCCTGTTTTATTTGGGTGTCTGCTGCAAAGATGCATGAATATGTGAAGAACCAGCGGGATGCTTTGGCAGAGAGCTGGCTCATCACAATTTTGTTTTACAGTGTTTTTTTTTTTATCTGTGTGGAGAGAAATAAGGAAGGGGGGAGGGGGGAATTTGTCACATCTCTCTCACACATATCTTTCCCCAGAATTAATAGATTTGGACTTGATAATTTTTGCATACTAAAAGTGAACCAATTCTCTTGCGCTAATTCTATATTGTTGAGATCTTTTATGTGGCTGTCATTGGGGGAATCATTTGGAGAACAGAGAAGTAGAATCTAAATAAGGTGCAGACATAAATGTCATGTGATCCAGTTGTTTTTGAAGCTGTATGCTTATGTGAGAGAGAAAGCTGGCATAGCATTCAATTCTCCACCTGCACTCTAAAGTAGCAGAGTCCAGCAAAGACTTCATTTCCGCATGCACAAATTCTCTCTCAACATGGTTTTCCCCTCTTTTACCCCCATCCAACTGCTTAGCTCTATATGCAAGCATGCATATTCTCCTACACTCTCACAGTAAATGGATGTTTGTAGATCTTTTCTTAATTAAAGTAAATTGTCCCTTTGGCTAAATAAAGAAAGGTAGGTGTAACTAAAAACATCTCTCCTATTTTCAAATTCTTCCCATAGCTGAAATGCTTTGAGCTACTTTGTGGCTTTCCTGTACACAAAAATCAGGACAATAGCCTGGCTGATCAAAGTATTAAACCCAGATGAGATTTGATTTAAAATGTCTCCTCAGTGATGGGCAATTCCAGAGAGTTCACTATTTTTAAACTTCACTTCTCTAGTGAGTCAACTGGGATTTTTTTTTTTTTTTTGTAACACATGTAAAAAAGCATCTTCCTGCTTTGCAGATCAACTATTTTACAACTCCAACAAAAGTGAAAAGAATTGTCTCTTAGGAATTGGAAGAAATGATCATAGAAGACCTGAGGAGTAGCTGCAAGCTGTTACTGTTTTCATCAGAATGAAAAGCAGTGTTGTGCCACAAATTGTGTCCCTTTGGGGCATGCCTGTGATGCATAAGGGGAAGGGGTTGGGCTTGTGCAGCAGTGCTGCTTATGACACCCTGCCTTTCAAGCCTCCCCACAGAAGAGATGTATGAATAAATAATGGAATAACAGAATAATGGGAGGGACCTTGAAGGTTTTCTAGTTCAACTCCCTGCTCAAGCAGGAAACCCTATACTGTTTCAGACAAATGCTTGTCCAATTTCTTCTTAAAAATCTTCAGTGATGGAGCACCCACAACTTCTGAAGGCAAGTCTTTCCACTGATTAACTGTTCTAATTATCAGGACATTTCTCCTTATTTCTAGGTTGGTTCTCTCCTTGATTCGTTTCCATCCATTGCTACTTGTCCTGCCTTCCGTTGCTTCGGAGAATAGGTTGACTTTCTTTTCTTTGTGGCAACCCCTGAGATATTGGAACACTGCTATCATGTCACCTCTGTTCTAAAAGATTCCCAAATCCTGTAGGAATAAAACGGTAGGAATAAATTAGTCATTTTTTTAACAAGCATTGCCAGAAGTAATTGTGGATGCTTCACTGGCTATTTTTAAGGCCTATAACTATTAAGAAGATAAAAATAGCTTTGCTGGATCACATCAAGATCCATCTTAATCCAGTATATTGTTTCTCAGAATTAACTACTATATGTCTTCGGGGTGCTTGTGAGCAGGAAGTGATTCTACTATTGTTCCCCTGTTAGCATAAAGCTTCCATTTAGATTTTTGTATCATATGCCTGAATCGTAGAGATTTTAATGATCTTGCTAAAATCTTGCTAAAATCTTAGAGATAGCAATATATGAGTGAGATTTCAGTGATGTTAAACTTCATTTTGCAGTGCCTAAAGGAAAAATCATGGGAATCTATTGAATACCCTACCCTATGAGCAGTTCTTTCTTGACTTTTACTCTATGCAATATAGCCTATGAAAATGAGAATCGTGTTGCTTTTGTTGATTTATTGTGCAAAACCTTATTTACTTTGCACATAATCTTTCCCCTTGGATTCTTGAAAACAACCTTTTCCCAATCTTTTTCAAGGTGCATTGGAACATGGTTAGCATTCAACAGAAATGAAATTAGCAAGGTGCAGGCAGTAGCTTATTGCAAGATATATTGAACTGAAGCCGCCATTTTCCCCCTATGGAGACTTGTATGTTTAAATTGGGTATAAATGAATATTGCCAGTAATGTTTCCTTCGAAAGCTTAATCTTGTTTTCTAATGTAGCAGCACATTTTGACCTATTTATCAGTAAGAATGAGCCAAGCTAAAACTAATGAGCAGATTATTTTAAGTCTTTGGAAAAACTGTAAATAGCAATAAATAATGGCATTTCTGCGACAATTACATTAGGGCCAAAAAGAAATATTGTGCAAGAACAAGCGAACCAATGGACACTTATTAATGAATGAACACTTTGTACACTTCTTATTATGCTCTGCTATTTCTCAACTATGTTTACAAAGAAGCTGGAGACATGGCCTTCTTTTTAAATAGGAAGATATTTATGTTTCAACTTTGCATGTCACTCAGTTTTAGTTTCTTTTTTAAATAGGAAGGTATTTATGTTTCAACTTTGCATGTCACTCAGTTTTAGTTTCTGGTTCCAAACCAAGTTACAGGCAGACTGCTTTTAGTAAAGTCATTTTTTGAACTTAGTTATTGGCAACTTCATGGATATATCTGCATAGTTTGGGAGCAGTGTTGACTGAAGTGGTTTGTCCTGGCTTCTTGGGTGGGGTTTTTTTTTTTTTTTTTACTTTCCAATCCAGCCTTCAGCTTTCATAGTTGCTGCAGAAATCCAATCCATTTACTAACTAGCCCTGATTCTGCTTAGTTTTGAACCTAGGCATCTGCTAACTGCTAAGTCACTACTAGTAATTCGTGTTCATAAACTAGCTTAATCTAAATAAGGGTTCCAAATCGAGGTACGGATGCTTAGCTCTGTTTTAATGCAAAACAAAAGCAAGGAAGTCTGTCTGTACTCTTTATATTTCTATAAATAAGAAAGCCAAATACATGCAGCAGAGCTGGTACTTACGTGTCTTACTTCGAGAGGCTCCAGAATTGGTTCTGTCCTGTGCTGTAGTTGAACCAGTTTCTCTTGCTGATGGAACATAAAGCAAGTTCCCTGGTGACTGTAGATCATAGACAAGTTCCTTATATGAAGGAATCAATCTTTCAGAACCTGGCCTCAAGCCAGTTGAGCTTTTTGATCCAAGCTAACACTCTGAACTAGCTTGGAAATAAATGACCTCTTACATAGTTAGTTCAAGTTGAGTGATGTATGGTCACTGAAGCACACACTTGGTAGTGGTAGCTAATGTCTGGGAATTTTATTCAAAGGAAGCATAGTACAAAATGCATTAAAGAAGACTGAGCAAAAGATAATTTGACCTGAATCACTGTTGCTTGATGAATGATGTGCTATTTTTTTTAAAAAAAACACAGCAAAATGAACCAACAAAAAGAGATCACCTATATCAGTGGTGGCGAACCTATGGCACGCGTACGAGAGGCGGCACTCGGAGCCCTCTCTGTGGGTACGCATGCTGTCGCCCTAGCCCCACCTCCCCCCACCTCCCCCTCCTCACTAGCAGCCCCCCTGGAGGAGAGTCGCCCTCAGGCGCAACCCACATGGAATAGCGCAGCCAAGGACATAGCCGGGCAGCAGTGACAAGACTCCGCCCTCGCGCTCCATAGCCTGCAGATGATGTTGTGGGGTGTGGGCGGAGGGCGTGGCTGCCATGACACTGCAGGGCTACCTGGATGATCTGCTGTGGTGGGCCATGGAGCAGTGCGTGGCCCTGCAGGCGGGGCAGGGGCAGAGCAGGCAGGGTGGGAGGCGGAGTGGGGGCGGGTTTTGGGCACTCAGTCTCTAAAAGGTTCGCCATCACTGACCTATATTTTATTGCCAGTGGTCTCTTTCTTACATTTGTGAAAATTTGCAGGTGTATATGGCCAAATGCAGGGGTAAGAAATTTAAGATATATTGCCAGATTTTTGCACTGCTGTTTTATTGAGAGAGAGCTGCTCCTGATTCCTTGATGGTGAATAATTGGTTATGTTTAAGAATGTTAGCCAAAACCAAGTGGAATGGATAGAATTAAAACTAAGGAGCAGACAATACCAACACATTTAATTAAACACATTCAGTATTTTTTAAAGTAGTCATAGTTTATTTAAAAGAGAAAAAAATCAAGCAGATTGCAAGCCTTGCTTCTTAAAAAAACCCATGTTAAATAAAATCCCCAAACAGCCGTTCACAGAAATCCCATCTCCCCAATTGCTTCAGTCAAGCAGGAAGTGCTACTGTAATGGTAATATTTACCAAAACCTGTTCAGAGCCAGGCTAAGGTTTCTAAGTGTATTTTAAATATGGATAGTGGTACTTTTCTTATAACATGAATGACACAAACATCATCTCTTTTAGTTAATAGGCTCACCATTGGACTTCTGCA